GACGTCTGTAAACCGAGCTAGGGTATCCGGACGAGGGTTGGACCGAGGAGGATACCCGAACGAGGACACGAAGCCAGGCGACACTCTGTCGGGAGAACGTCGCCGAGATCGCACGTCCGAACCAGTCTTCAGTTTTATCACGAAAATATACGCTTTGTTGTTAACGGAAATTCCTTTTGTAAAATTATTTGCCTACAATAGTTTGGAACATTCTTACACTCGTATTGAGGGACTTTCAACGAATCAAGAAGGCACGCTGATTGTAAAATAATAATCGATCAACGATGTTGATTATTTAAGGAGAGAATTCTTCGTAGAAATTTACACTCTTGCAATATGTTGCGAATAAGAATCTAAGTCATCTTGAAATTGTAATTTGGTCAATGGCCAAAATACAAGTTAGAAAAAAATATGTATATATGTAAGCGCGACGAAAAAAGTCCATACATAACATTTTTACATCAGCTACCTAGTCGAAAATTTTATCTTGTTGGAATAAAATTCTGTGAAACTGTAAAGTGTGAGTTCTTAATTATATCCTTACAACATAACAACATTTTCATTTGTCATTTTTCGTGTGGATTTCAATTTCAAGAAACCGGATCTCAGTTTATTATGTGTTATTCTATTTCAAATATTATAGCTCAATAATAATAGCTCAAACTAGGGGTGTGCGGGTACCCGAAAATAGTCTTTCACTCATAGTTAGAATAAAAAAATCACTATCCTATCCATATAGAGTTAGGCATATTTTATTCGAACGAATAACGAATAAAATACTGTCAAATTTATTCGTTGCTTACGAATAACGATTTTATTAGAAGAAAAATTATTCGTGGCTTACGAATAATGATTTTATTAGAGGAAAAATTATTCGTTGCTTACGAATAACGATTTTATTAGAGGAAAAATTATTCGTTGCTTACGAATAACGATTTTATTCGAAGAAAAATTATTCGAACAGTTGGGCATTATTCGAATAAAATTTTATTCAAAATATTTACTAAAATAATGTAAAAAAAAAGAGTCAGGAGTACATTTTTTTCAATTTTGATTTATTTAATAAATTTGCTTTGCTTTTAATATTTAATAAAGCGGAATCTACTTTAACCGACCAACATTTACAAACAAATGATAACGTAGAAATTCTTGTATTACAATTTTTTATCTCTCTGAACGCATATCCCATAATTATATTTTTGAAATATAACACTCCTTCGCCATCTTCTGTTCCAATAGAGCGTTTGTTTTCATTTGCAACGATAACAAACTCGCTTAAAGCAAACATTAACTAACAAAATGTTCGAACAAAAAATTGTACTAAAAATAAATTTATTAAATAAACCAAAATTGTGAAAAAAGGATTCCTGATTCTTTTTCTTTACATTATTTCAGTAAATATTTCGAATAAAATTTTATTCGAAGAATTTATTCGAAATATTATACGAATAAAATTTTATTCGAAGAATTTAATCGAAACATTATTCGAATAATGCCCAATTTTATGTTCGAATAAAATCGTTATTCGTAAATATCGAATAATTTATTCGAAATGTTATTCGGATAATGCCCACCTCTGATCCTATCCCCCTTGAACTTTTTCCAACTCGATCCGAAATCATCGGGCCATTCGCTCGAGCCCGCCCGACTTTGTGTGAGCCCAACCCGAACCCGAAATTTCGGGTATCTTAGCTCAAACTCAATTCAGATTTAGTTAACTAATTTATAACGTTACTTGCGCAATAATACATAACACAATTCCAGATATGTTTCAACAATAAATGATATACGTAAGTCGTTGAGTTCGTCTTAACAACTGCCATGAAAAAAAATATAAAATTCCATTTTATTTGATATTTATTCCATCACTCGAAAAGTCGTGATAAATCCATGAAACATGAATAGAGCTCTTTCTGGCATATATGTATGTAGTAAAATGATTTTGGTTAGTTACTAGCCTCACATTTCGGTATTAAAAGTTTGGCAATACTGTAATGGGTTTAAAAAATCATATTTCTGACACATTTGCTACTTAACCAATCTCGATCGTTTTACTTGACATTCCCTAATTCACCGTTCTTTAAACGTAGAATGTGCTAAAAAAACCAGTGATTTTTTTACTATGTCGAAATTTCAGATTCCCGGCCACAAAATCCCGTAAGGTGTTAGGTCTATTTATATACCTCGTCGGTGCTAGTAGCTTTGAATTCTGATTAACTGTTTTACGAACGTATGGTGCGATTTAAAACTCCAAACTTAACAGCAAAATATACATAAGAATATCAGAAATTACATTTAAAAATTCAAACTTGTTTTATGATAATTATAAAAAAGATTCCAATAAAATAAGAATATTCTCGCACGATATACATAAGTTTATATACATATACGATATATTCTCTCGTAACTGATTGGAGTGCATATGTACGTTTATATACATGTAGTTATATTATCCTTGGTTATAATCCTATATATTACAAACATGGTGTGAAATCTCAAAGAAAAACGTGTAGAAATATTAAAAAAATATGGCGAATATGAAGATAATGAAATTTTTAGAAGCCTCCAATAAAATGTATAAACCTAATATTATAAGATTAATAATAAGAAATGTGCATGATGTAACTACAGAATCTGCTAAAAAAGTTACTCATACTGGTCAGGTAATGTAATATTGATAGAAATATTTTATTTTTACATGCACATGTTATTTATTTTGATAAATATTATTTATTTTATAATAGATCTATGATGAGGATGATTATCGTAATTCACGATTTGTAAATAGGCCAAAGGAGGTTAACGATAATTGGGCTATTAAATTGATTGACGAGGTTCCTCCTACATCTGTAAAAGATAAAATTGTGGCATGCGATGGGGGAGGTGGACCTTTGGGGCATCCGAAAGTTTATATTAATTTGGTATAAATTATATATATTTTGGTATAAATTATATATATTTGCAACATTAATAAATATATTCATTAAGTTTATTTACATACATTTTATTTTAGGACAAACCTGGTAACCATACTTGTGGATATTGTGGTTTACGTTTTTATAAAGAAAATCATTGAACGAACTTAATAAATACATGTAGTCAAATTATAAGTTACATAGATATTATAATGTATATTTATGATACTAAATAGAATCTATAAATGTATGTTAATATATAAAACAAACAATTTTTTATTTCTTAACCTAAAACTTTTTGAAATGATATTTAGTAAAGATCAGTTTAATAACAAATTTTTACAGGGCTGTTTTCTGACTATTCATACTTAATGGTATTGCTTGTAATTCAGTTTTCATACAAAGAAATTCACCACAAACACACATTATACTTAAAGATATGATGTTTAAACACCACCAACTAAATGTTGATGGAAAACTTGCATTGTATATCCAGCAACATAATAAATGTATTAAGTGTGCTGTACAAGCAAAGTCCATGCATTGTTTTGTTCTCTGTACTAACCACCATAGTGCAATTGCTCCAATCAATGCATTTAAAATGAAAATAATTATAATAAACTGACCAGCAAAATCTCTAACATGTATTTGTTTATAATGGAAAGCATAGTCTAGCGACTTTGTGGATCCTATGAATGATGCAACAATCCAAATCCATAATCCAAGACAAAAGTACATTACAGTTTGTATAGCAATTATTTGAGATATTATAAGAAATGGATCCCACATTGTTTTACGGAACTGTCCGGAAATGTTATTCATTGTTTTTGTTCAAAATGCTAGTTCAAAACGCTTGTTTCAATTCTATGCCATTGTATTTTGTCATATCGAAGTTCTAACAAAATACAAATAATCTGAAACAAAAGTAATATAATATTTTTATTTTATAAAAAGATGAATATATACATAAGTATTAATGAACTTATGATTTATGTTATTAGATTAGATTGGAAGAAATTAAGACTATTATATCTAATTGAACAAAATTAAATAATAAATTACAATTAATTATTATATCTTTTTCAAATCATATGAGAAATCAGCTTTGTTTAATTCATAACTTTTCATTGAGTTTATCACACGATTTAATTCACATAGAACTAAAAAGTTAGATTATTCCGCAAAAATATTATACAAATATATTGATTCATTGTATTATTCATATTTTATACAAAATTTATATAATAAAACATCACTTACATTTATTCAGTAAAATATTTATGGTAAAATCATAATAATCCAAATGTCTAAATTGATTTAAATAGTTATTTATTACGTGCAAATAATATTATTATGTTTATTTATTTATTTGTACAAATCCATTAGATAATATTAAGTTTCAAAATGTTGCTGTATCTAATGTATTACTATATTATAAAAATAATAACACTATATTTTTTATACATAATAATTCACTTGCTTCATAACAGAATGGTTATTTTTCTCGAATGCCATTATTTCATGATGAATTGTACATAAATATAGGCTATACACAGTTATGGCGGTAATTTTAAATTTATCATTTAAAAAGTTACATTGTATTTATTATAAAAATGGACATGTATTTAATTAAATTTATTTAATGTGACACGTTTAAACTTGAAGTATATTAATTGAACATCACTTGAAAGCATAGAAGTTGAATTCAATATGTATTAAGATGTGTTGAACAAAAATGCCTTCATGAAAGCGGATAGATAAATCTTGTTTTTAAATCGTAAAATAATATATTTTTAAATCGTTTAAATAATATATTTTTAGAGAAATAATAGCATTATACAATAACTAATATAATTGTACCAATGACAATGAAATTGTTACTGATGTGAACTGATATAATTTCGTGATCTCATTTTCATCTCATACAATTTCTTGATCTCATTTTAAAATGTGAAGACATAATAAAAAAATGGTTAAAAAAAATCATACAATAGGTGTTAAAAGATTATTGTAAACCTCAATTTTTAAAATAATGGTAACTTTAATTATGAAAAAAATTCTTTAATGTTTTTAAAGATATTTGAATTTTTACAATTTTCGAGAAAAAAATGTCCTCACTTTTCCATGTTTTAAAATTAGATCAAATGGACTTACGAAGTTATTCAAGTCAGTTTCAATTATCAATCATTTTTCACTGTCATTGACTACTGACACAGTTATGCTTTTCACTGTTTATTTGCATATAATCTATATGCATATATTTGATATAATGACTTTAATAATAAATTTATGATTATTAAATAATAACAAACAGAAGCTAAAATATTACGATGCAACTATGGATGTTAATAAATGTGCATTTGTATGATTTCGTTTGATTTAAATTTTTGTTCTAAATGTGTACAATTTTTTAAATTGTAGGTGTCCATCTATTTACTCGATATTTATAGACGAATGTAGGGATAAAAAAAAAAAAAATATAATAAATATAATACCAACTATACAAATTCAAATATAACTAAATTCAGATACATATATGTCTAATGACATTTTAATTCGAGAATATTCGAATATATGATGTGAGTTTATTTTTGATGAGTGAGTGAATTAAGGTAGTAAGAAATGGATTTTTGGAATTTTATTCGTAATATATTTGGTGCTCAAAGTTCAAGAAACTTTAATAAAGGGTAAAGATTTAAAATAAATATTATTTTACATGTTATAATATAATATTTACATATTATGGATCGTCTGTTTTGATTGTATAGTTTTCTACAATATTTTTGATTAATTATAATTTCTTTTCTTATTTTAATTAAATTTACATTACGAAATATTTCAGATTTGATAATTATCAAAATAATGAGGAACGAGATAATATTGAAAATTCAATATGGGAAATTGATATTAATGATAATTCCAGGTAATTTTTATTTCATATTTCACGTAGAAGTGTAAAACTGTAGTATATAGTATAAAATAGTATTTATAAACTTGTAGAATGTAAGATAATACTTTAAAAATTGTTTCATTGTATCAGAATTAAACAAAATGTTAGACTAATAGGCATGTTGCAAGTATAGTAAACAGATACTAAAGAATTTTGGAATTTTAAAACTTAAATGTTACAATTTGAAGTTTCTTAATTGTTCTACTTTCAGTAGCAAATTAAAAATATATGATTGATAATCCATGGTCTCTGTGAGGAAAAATATAGTTTGTATTCATAAATTTTTAGATAACTGATATGAATAGCGATATGCTATGAGTCCCAGAGCATAGACCTAGCATATGCACTAAAGGGTTAATTACAATGTTAACAAAATTTATAAATTTTATAAATAAATATTTCGAATTATTACAGATGTGAAGGTTATTATATATTATTATATATACATATATATATTACATATATAAAGTATGTAAATTTATTTCCTACGATATCTATATATTTTTTTATTTATTTTATTTTCTTAAATGAAGAGTTACTAATTCTACTATAGAATTTTATGTATAATAGTTTTTTCAGGGAAAGAAATCACTTTAACATCTTTAGTGATCCATTACAAATAACACGATACTTTGAATCTGAAATAGAAAATATGTTGACTTCTATTTTTGGATTTAATAATGGAGGTATGCATATATATTTCTAATTTATATAGAACTGAATTTAAATTTGTATAAAAATATTTTTAAAATTTATTTAGATAATGATACAGGTATAAGTGCATTTTCATTTGCACCACCACAGAGAAAAACTTTACGTGATAACATGTTGAAGCCAAACAACGATCAGATGGAATTAAAACTAGATACAGATTTAGATGGAAGGTTAGTAATTTAAAAAATTTAATATAATTCATAAATATAATTTATAATTTGAAGAAAAAAATGTTTATTTTTGATAGAGTTTCTGTAGACAATTTTTCTAATGTTTGGGATGAGTGTAAAAAGCCAAAATTTGAAATATTACGACCTACCATAATTGGAAGATCTGTGAGGAAAGAATATATTCGTAAACCTGATGGAACAATAGAACAAAAACAAATTATTAAAGATTATGAAGGAAATGAGGAAACTATTATATCACACCAAATTGGTGACAAAATTCATACTATTATTACAAAAATAGACAAAAATGGAATAGAAACAAAAACAGAAGATTTTTCTGATATAAGTGAATGTAAGTAATTTATATTAAATTGGTAACGTATATTGGTAATATACATTAATATACATTACTTACATTAGTAAATTGGTAATATATATTGATTAGGTGACAATAATTATATATATATATGTATAATATATATACTATATATATATAGACAACACACATAATCATCATCGCTTAAAATAGTCAGTCTAAATATTTCTGCTGTTTTCAACATAGAAAAATTTTTGAAATGTTTAGAAAAAAAGAAAGATAAAACTAATATTAAATTTTTTTAAATTAAATTTTAATAGTATAATTTTTTTTAAAAATGGAAAGATAGAGTTTATGTTTTTTTATGTGATTCTTTGCATTTAATTTATAACCTACATAATTTTAATAAATATTATTAAACTATATTAAATAATATTAAACTTATACTTTGAAGTAATTTTATTTTACAGTATTTTTGAAATATCTATTAAAGTTTTAAATCTTGCTTTTAGTTATTGAATAAGTTTATTGAATATTTTAATTATTGGTATATGTTACTTGAAAAATGATTAAATTCTACATTTTAATATCTCTCAGAAACATTTTTTCAAATATTTTACGTATAATCTTTAGCACTTTAGTAAAATAATAATTTTTTTGAAGAAAAGCATTACCATCTATATCCACGCATTTGGATTTAATAATGCAAAACAATTATTAGTTTGGATATTTGAACTAGATATTAATAATTTTGTGGCTAGAATTATATTTTTCTTGAAATTATAAATGATGACTTTTATATAAAAATGACTTTTATTTTAAATGATAAAAATATAAAATTTAGAGATAAAGATGTAATTTTTTGCTTATTTATTATTCATTATTTCATGGAAATTATCAGATATATAATTTTTAATATGGTTAATTCTTGATTGATTTATATAGTTCTTAAATTTTGCTTGTGGTAAAACTGGTGAAATGTAATTTTTCTTGTAAATTTTGTTCTTGGAAATCTTAATTATAACTCTTAAACATCTTAATTATAACTCTTTCTATAAGTAAGCAGTAAAGCTTATTAAAAATAGTATTTAGTCTCTTAATACTTCCTATGAATTTTGTTTCTGAATCTAATTTTAATTACTACAATAGTGCAAAGAGTTTGTATTCCTTATGTACATAAACATATATAATGAAATTTGAAAGATATACAAATTTATATACAGAATAGTCCACTTAAGAGAGGCCATCTAAATATCTTTTCAAATTGTGATGATGCAAAAACTATTTTGTGCCTAACATGAATGGTATTGAGAGGCTAATAACTGGTAGAAATATTTTTTTCAAGGACTTTTTAAGGTCATTGATGTTTTTTTCATGTAATTATATATTTTTTTATCGTGTAGTTGATGAAAAAATAGATTCAAATATGTAAAGCACATGACCTTGAAAATTTAAATCTCTTCTAGCTTGAAATCTTGATCAGTGTATCAATAATTTATAATGAAATACTCAACGCAAAAAAAGACCAATATGATTCACTTGTAAAAGTGAGTAATGTCTGAGAGTCTGAATGTACAAAGCTACATTTCTTAATCATACAACTATACATTTTTTTGGTTGCATCATGTAGCTGATAAAAATATACATTGAGATATGTACAGAACATGATTATAATGATATTGATGTCCAAAAGTTTAAGTTTTTTTTTTTTAAAGAATGATTGGTATTGACTTTCGTATTGCTGCAAACCCCACTGAAAAAAATGCATATGATTTATAAAATCTGTTCTGTGAATATCTGGATGTAAGGATAAATGATACGGATGAAATTTTTCTTTCATATTTGCATTATGCGTATTTTAGAAATGCTACTTTTGCACTGGTTTAGACTCACATGTGGATTTCGTTAATTTTAGCTACGATAATTTCTTTATTTTTTTTTTTTGTTATTAACAGTTTTGCGAATAGTTCGCCAATTTGACAAAACTTTTTGACTATCTTATGTATATGCATTTCGTAACCGCATATGTATGTGTCGTGAATGAATAACTATGATTAGGAAATGCATCTTTGTATACTCGGATTGCTCCTCTCAAACACTACTTTTTCTATAAATTTTTACTATACTTTTACTATACACTTTTACTATAAATGAGTATCATATTGATCTTTTCTTGCGTTGAGTCGTAATTCTATAAATTACTGACAGATTTCGATACATTGGTCGAAATTTTAAGTAACTAGAAGAGATTATCATTTACGATATAATAAATAATAAATATCTTTATTTACATTTGTTATTAGGCTGTCGATTGTCATGTCTTAGCTGTTATCTTGGTAGAGATAAATTTATACGTAAAACTTAAATTTTCAAGGTCATGTTCTTCACATACCTGAATGTATTTTTTTACTAGTTACACGACACAATTAAAAAAGATATATAGTTATATGAAAAAAACATCAATGACCTTGAAGACCTTGAAAAAAATATTCTTACCGGTTATTGGTCTTTCGATATGATCATTCATACTAGGCAAAAAATAATTTTTGCATCACAATTCGGAAAGATATTTAGATGGACTCGCTTAAATGGACTATCCTGTACATAGCACAATTGCTAAGCAAATTTAGCTTACATCTAAAATAAAATAACCAAAATAAAGTTATTCGTTGCGAGCAATATAAAAATTTTTTGTAAAAAATTAAAAAATTCTTGACATTCAAAGTAGTATCAGTAAAAAATGTAGCATTAATATTTCCATCAAAGACATTATAGCATGTGTTTATACTTTTTTGAATATTAGTGAATAACTTGCTAAAGTTATTACGGATTTGTTTTGTATACCAATAATGTCTACTATTTTTCTTGTTGTGTATTTAGATCTCAATAATTGGTACATCGTAACAAAAATTCATTTGTTTGCTGTAGTCAAATTTCTGATATAAAGAAATGTGGTACACGTTTAATATTATAATTTATGGAAATTATAATATTAAATTATAAGATTACAATATCGTTTGATTTAAGAATACAGGAAAATATAATTTTATAATAAACTAATCAATATTTTGTCAAAAAAAAAAAGATTCCTCTTTAAGGTAGCAACAAGGATACTTTTACAGGATATATAAAAATTATATATATCACAACTATTAGTATAACTTTTGTGTAGTTTTTGGATTAGTGAATATTTGTTGAAAAAATTGTCTTTGTTTTAGAAATGACTTTATTTTTTCATAAAATGTGTCATATTTCTCTCATTACAAGAATCAAAAGATTATGTACAATAATGATTGCAGATGACACATCTTGCTGTCAAATAGAATGTTCTTGACAAAAAATAGAAAAAAATTAAATAGGTCTTCAGATACAAATGTATATTTATTTTGATTGAAATATTTTTTCTTGAATTATAATTATTATTAATTAGATCTTTCATGAAAAACACTATTGTTCAAAATACAACTGTGTCAATAATAATATTTATAGAAGATTATTTTATTTTTTTATAGGAGATTTTATTTATATTTCGTAAATCATGTTAATGAAATTGGTATACTTATAATCTAATAAAATAAAATATCATGATAGTTGATAATTCAACAATAATAAACTGATTATAGACCTGTTTAGAATTGTTTAACTTAGTTTAACTAACAAGTCTATATATGTTAAATATCTATATCAATTAATATTTATACTAATAGTAGTATTTATGAGAAACAGTAGAAATATTTAGGATCATTATATAATTAAATTTATATATATATATAAATTATTCACCATATAAATAGTTAATTCATTTTTTAAAGAAATTTATTTTTAAATAAATGTAATATGAATTTCAGGTGACTTATTAGCAAGAAAAGGAAAAAATAATTTTCTTAATATTGATTTGAATTTCTTTCCTTGGGAAAATTTTTTTAAATTTGATCCATAATTATAATCAAATAAAATTTAATGATTATAGTAAAACTTATAGGAAAAAATGTATAGTAAAAATTATAGTAAATGATTAATTAAATGATAAATAACACACTGTAATTAAAAATTTTAAATTTTAAATGTATGTAATATATAATAAATTTATTTCAATCTAATACAAGCATTTGTATATAGAAAAGTAATCTATTTTTGTAACAATCAAAAACACAACGAAATTTCCATATCTCTGGACAATAGCAAATGCTAAATGTATATACATGTTATAATATAGAACTATAATTTTACTTTACTAATAAGATCTGCTATAGATATTATTTTCTTATTTAGCAATATTAAAGAACATATAAATTTCTTAAAGATAAAAGTTACATGAATTGACTTTTTTTCATTGGTATTAAGTATTAAAAGTAAATTGTTAATTATTAAATGCTTTCTGTGAATCTATATATGTAGCTGTACACGCACGCACGCACGCACGCACGCACGCACGCACGCACGCACGCACGCACGCACGCACGCACGCACGCACGCACGCACGCACGCACGCACGCACGCACACATATATATATTGACAGTACGCGTTGAGATTAAATTAAACAGATTCGTTTGGATTTTATTTTACGTTGCCAACGATTTGCAATTGTCCAAGTTTGTCGTAAATACTTACGCGCCTTTGCAAGAAGCAACGAACTCTGTATCTTCTCAGCCATCTCCTTTCGGCGCGAAAATTCTCCTCTCTTGTTAAAAAAAACGAATCTGCCGGGCAGAGAAAAGGAGGTGGTTTCGCGAGAAAAAGGACGAAGAACCGAGGAGGCTCGGAGGGGGCGTGAAACCGCGCGAGCACGCACGCACAAACGACGAACGTGGCGCGATAACGAGAGCTCCGCGGCTCCTCTCGTCTCGTCTCCTTGCACCGGATGCGACGATTATCCTTGCCGATACACAGCGGGTCGATCGTTAAGGAGATGTCGGCTCGGCCGTTCGTGGAAACGGCTCTCTCGGCACGAATCCTTCTCTATATGTCGAGTCACACCATCCAACGGCGGACGAGCTCCTTGATTGGATGCAGATTACGCTTGATGGAGTTGTGGCCGGATCGAAAGTGGACGATCTCGGTTCCTCGTGTCCCGATAGAGGCGCCGGTTATGGCGTTCGAGCCGTGCTCCTGCAAATAGGGTACTTGATTGCCGTTGCTTTTTGCGTATTTTAACTTTGAATACCAAGACCAACAGCCGTTTTACCGTGGAATCGTTTCGAAACGGAAAGCTACCGATCTCCGAGTCGCCGAGTGTTTTACTGCTTTCTGGCTACAGGTGATACACGTCGTCGCGAGGAAACTTGGCATTAAACTCTCAGGAACCCTGAGAGTTTAATATCGATCGCACATGCTGCGCGTGCAATTTACAACTTATTTATCGAATTTAAATATCGAACGCTTCGGGAGCGTGTAGAAAATTGAAAAGTTTCTTTTAGAGATTCTTGCACGTTCTTCGCACCATTTTAGAGAAAATTGCGGGAGAAGGAAGAAAAATATTTTCATTTTCTCTCTTATTCAGTAAGTTCGCATAACCAAACATTGTTGAAACAATTAATTCTTCCTATAATTAGAGCGGTCAACGTTCAATCTAATGCTCGATGATAATATGAATGACGAAATAGACAATAACACGAACAAGTAGAGAAACAAAGACTTTTTTGTTTCTTTTCTTGCGATTTTCTCCAAAATGGAGCAAAAACGAGCAACTGTCGAAAGGAAACTCTCTCTTACAATTAGGTCGTTCGTCGGTCGTCTATACGTTTCCGAAGTTTACGACTTTTAAATTCGGAACAGTCTGTACATATTTCTTATTACATTCCTCTTCGCACATCGTTACCGATATTTGGATCAACGTTTACCTTTTTACGATTCGTTCCGAACAATCGCTTTCGTGAAAATTGCTTTCGTTTAAATATCGGTCACCATGCTGGCACTTGCTGATCGAACGAAGCCACCTATCACCTATCGCCGATACCCCAAAAACCTTTTCGCCCCACCCCCTGTCACCACGGTATCGTCAGGTCGAAGAGTATCGCAAGATCCGACGAGAGAAACGTTAAAGGCTCGTCATTATTTATAATTTTCCGCTTGGTCGATCTAGCGAGCCGACACCCTTCTGTTTCCACCGGTTGAAAGAATAGCCCAAGAGTCGGTGGCGCGGGGCTTTTCTTCTGGCGTTCGTTCTCGTTCTTCGAGGCCAGACGAGGAAACGAACGTGCGAGCGAAAGAAAAAGGGGCGCGAGAGAGAAGAGAAGAGAAGAAAAGCACAAACGCAAACAAAAAAA